CCCCCCCCCCCCCCCAACGCCCCCCGCTGCCGCTGCTGAAACTGATGAGCAGCGGACTTGGGGAAGCGGCACACAGCAGAGCAGCTGGGGTGCTGCCAGGTTGGTCCCGCAGCGCCGCCCCTCACCCCGCTGCTCAGCGCCTGGCAGCACCCCAGCTGCTCTGCTCCACGTCACTTCCCCAAGTCCACCACTGTTGCTGCTGAAACTAACGAGCGGTGGACTTGGGGAAACTGCAGAGCAGAGCAGCTGGGGTGTTGCCAGGTTGGTCCCACAGTGCTGCCCCTCACCCCTCTGCTCGGCGATAACTACTGCAATCTGGGGGGTGGGGAACCTGCTCCCCTCCCGGAAACTTTGGGCAGCAGCGTGAGGCTTCACCCGCTTTCCTGCAAAATGGCGGAGGGTTCGCCCCTTGCTGCGCCGTTCCCCACCCACTCCCCGGCTGGTCACAGTGCGGGTCCTGGCAGACCAGTCACAGGGATATAAGCCCCTTTCCCTCTTCTCCCCTTCCCTTTCCCAGCCGTGAGAGCCCATGGGGCTCATAGCAGCTCCTCTTGTCCGGCTGGCTGGAGCACTTCCGGGTTCCAGTTGGTGCTGGACTATCGGGAGTGCCGGACCACTGGATGCCCGACAATTGGAGTTTTACTGTATAAGCTTTTGCTTAACGGTTAATCGACAACACTGTTACATCCCTACTTCTTATATAATTTGTTATCTGTGCCTTTAAGACCTGTGTTTTACTGGAAGTTTTGCAGATACATGCTATATGATTACATAGACGAGGTATCTACGTAGAAGCAAACTACCGTAACTACTCTTTGTTAGTCACAAAGAGTGGACTACAGAGGGACAATTACCTATGGCAGCGTAATTGGTTTTTTGGTTTTGTTTTGTTAATATGTTATGGATGACACATCTTGAAGAACCCTGTTGTACCTGTGTCAACTGTTCTTTTGTCATTTGCAGTTCTATCCTTTTTCTTCCCTATTATAAAAAATGATATTTTTGCAGCAGTTAAAATAGAGGGGAAAGTTCATATTAAACTAAATGCCAACAGCTTTGGTCTTTTTAACAAAAATAAAAATGTGACTTAAAAATATATATTTTACAATCTAGATGATTGTGACTGTGTTCTCAAATTGTATTTTCTCTTAACAGGTATGGCTACCACATTACCAAAGCTTCATATTTCATCTGCCATGATCCTAAGGTTATTAAAGATCTATTTGAGAATCTTAGAAATTTTGATGGAAAGAACACTTATCCAAAATCATGTGGCAAATTTAAAGTTTCTGGAGTAAGGGATCTAACTACTGGCTATGATAACAGCCAGCCTGATCAAAAGGCTGTAAGTATAATTTTGTAAAAAAAAAAATCTGATAATCATAGGACTATAAAATCTGATCGAATAGTATGTTTAACATTGAGAGAAAAGTAGAAATACCAACTAAAAACCACATCGATTCTCGTCACCATATTTTGTGATTTTTTTTTTTTTTTTTGGTCTCAACTGAGCTTCCGTGGCTGACTAACATTTCATGCAGAGGATAGTGCTGTTTACTACAGCTTCAAGTTTCTCTGTTTTTTCCTACTATTTTAGAGGGATTCTCTTCCCTTCAGCAGTGATATAAGAAATGTAAAATATCTATTCAGACTTGAAGTTCTGAGTTTGTTAGCCTTTTTTTAGAATATTGGTTCTACACGGGTGATTTGTACTTTTTTGCTTTGATAGACACTGAGCATGTGTGTCATGTAGCTCTTTCCATATGCTACGAAAACCTTGACAAGATTTCATGATGTTTTATCTAGTAGTGACTCACAAGCCATGCCAGTGCTTCAATTTTCAAATCTTAGGTTGAAGGTAAGATTTTGACTAACTCCAACATGGTGAAAAACAACAAAATTCTACTTCTTCAGAGGAATATCCACGAAAGCTCAAATACCGTCTACGCGTTTTGTTAGTCTTTAAGGAGCTACTAGACTATTTGTTGTTTTTCCAGTTACAGACTAACTTGGCTACCCCTCTGAAACTTTCCAACATGGTGGTTGAAGTCAAGAGGACAAAATAATTTAGTTTGCATTTTGTACTGAATACAAATTGTTGGGTTTTTTCCTTTGCATTTAAAACTCATTATATATATTAAAGTACCAAACTTTTAAGGAAATGATTCTATGCATTTTTAGGTGCTTCCTACCAGTAAAAGTAGCCAAATGATAACATTTACTTTCGCTAATGGAGGGGTGGCTACTATGAGGACCAGTGGCACAGAACCAAAAATCAAATACTATTCTGAACTGTGCGCGCCTCCTGGAAACAGGTATTGTGTTGCTTTTTAGGATTAATTTCAGTTATTTTTAAAGGTCTGTTTTTAATATTACATTTTTTCCTAAAGAGTGTATTCCAAGCTTTAATTTTGCAGAATTTCAGGCTGCCCCCCCCC